CAAGGATCCAACCCTCAAAACGAGTGTGTGGAGTTTAAGTAGGCAAGGGGTTCAGGGTTGCAACAAGGCAAAATACAGTTTGACAAACGTTGTATGGGTTTAACTACTTAGGAGGCCCTCTCCCTGGCAGCAGAAAACCATTGTTTCGGGAGACCTGGATTCGGGGCTGTTGCAGTTGTGACGTGCATGTTCCAGCGTATTCCAGCTTACACATTTGCCGGCTTTTGCATTTGCTGCCTTTTGCAGTTGCATGGCTTTTGCATTTGTTCGGTTTTGCGTTCGAAGTGTGATACATTTGGCAAGTTTTGCGCGGAACTTTTGCTCTTTTTTGCAATTGACGGATTTTGCTACTTTTTGCATGGACTTTTGTTATTCTTTGCGTTCGACAGCGGCCATTTGCTTGCTGAGCTCCGTGTTAGCCTTTGTTTCACACTCGCTGTTCCCCAATGTGGGGAGCCAGGAATCTGGTGTGTGAGCACCCATCCTTTGCCTCGGAGGCTTCACAAGGTGGGATGAAAGTAGGTGGGATTAAGGATCCCTTATACAAGGACTCTTATTTGGGAATATCCCACCTACCTTCATCCTACCTTTTGAGCTCGCTCGTGAATTGAAGGCGGAAGGAACATCCGCAACCATGGAGAAAGCTTCGCCACTTCAAGTGCATCTTCATGCGTACCTGCATCCGGCGCAACCTTTTCATCGTCGTGGTCGCGATGCCATGCAAGTGTTCGAGTTCGAAGGAGTTCGTCCCCACCTCAGCCCCAACATACATGGGTGCGGTTCGCCACGGGCAATTCTATGTGGTAGTGGACAAGATTGGTACTTTGCCGCTTGGTTGGAGTTGTGGAGTTGCGTGTGTGTGTCTGTGTACAGATATATTCAGGGGACTCAGGGAAAGCTGCGGCTTAAATTTCTAAATGAGCGGTTCACTTGGAGGGCTGACGCGGGCGAGGTGGTGACAGTCTGGGGACCCTTAATTAGCACTATATAGATTCCAGGTCCCTTGAGGCCTCGCTTCGAATGTAGGCTTCGCATGTGTTTCTTATAAGGGGATTTGCGAAAAACACCGCCCACGAAGACGGCCTCGAATGTCGGCTTCGAATGTATCTCTTATCACGGGATTTGTGTAAAAAACACCGGCTTCGGAGAGGCCTCGAAAGGCATCGAAACCGAGGGAATCCGGCCTCGGAGGCTTCGAAGGTAGGCTTCGAATGTGTCTCTTATAAGGGGATTTGTGTAAAACACCTGCCTCGGAGAGGCCTCCAAAGGCTTCGAAACCGAGGGAATCCGGTACAAGGGCATTTGTAGAACCCGGCTTCGGAGAGGCGTCGAAGGGAAACCGCGAGGGAATGCGGCCTCGGGCGGCTTCGAATGTAGGCTTCGAATGTGTCTCTTACAAGGGGATTTGTGTATAACACCCGGAGAGGCCACGAAAGGCTTCGAAACCGAGGGAGTACGGGTTCGGACGGTCTCGGATTTTGGCTTCAGATGTGCCTGTTTTCAGGTGATTTGTGCAAGAAGACAGGCCTCGGAATGGCTTTGGGGTGCTTCGAAACCGAGAAATGAGGCTTCGGGCAAACGGATTTGAGCTTCGGATGTGTTTCTAACGGCGGGCGGGCCTCGGAAGGCCTTGTGGGTGCAGCTGTTCCGGGTCTGGTCGCAGTGCAGGTTCAACTCTACAGATTTAAACCCACCCTTCAAAGCATTTCAAAGCCTATGCGGTGGAGGGATGGTGGTTGGACAACCTTCTCACGGATGGAAAGTTGACGTGGCAGACGTATCTTCGGGTGGCAAAAGCTATTGGGAGACTGCAAAGCTGCAGAGCGTTATCTTCGCGACCAGGCTCTGTTCGAGACGCCGTGCAGGCAGAGTCCAAGGCGCTAGAGTCCGCGATGTTGCCTATGAAAACGTTTCGACCAGTCGAGGTGGAGCTTGAGCTTGCTAGATTGCTAGGTTTAAGTTCGAAATCCACCATCGCACTCGCGCTGTAAGCAATTTTGTTGATGTAACGCTTCCGCCAGGAGTTTGTGGCTTGCCACGACGGACAGCCTCGATTCCGCCGTCCAATACTTGCAATCGTGGGCGGCACGCGCTTGGGTAAATCCATGCTGGCTGCCCTCACTTTGAAGCGGGTGGCGAACAAGTTGGGTTTGAAGGACTTCCTCGAGGTGACAGTAGAGGATTCTGAGAACATGGGCCTTGCTACTTTTGGCTGGCCGCCGTGTGCATGCCGGGGTTCTTTTTGACGGCGTCGGAGATGCCATGTTCCTGAAAAGGAACCGGGAAGCCCTGCAAGGTCGCCCAAAGATCGTGAAAGGAGCGAGACCTGCCACGAACGTGCTTTTCCTATTCCTATTCTTTCTGTGGACGGGCAGTTGTCGCAACTTTCGATTTGTCGGCCCAGAACTTGGGAGAACTCCACACCGACCATTGGCTGTGCAATCGTCAGAATGTCCAACTGCTACTCCTAGACGAGCCAGCCTACATTGAGCCAGCAAGCCTGAGTGCGGCTGGGAGTGATGTTGCCGACTCACGTTCTGATCAGGGAAAGCGCAGGTGCGTGGCTTCGCCTGGACCTAAGCGCGAGCTGCAGTTCGACGAGTCAGGCTGACGGCCAAGTGTCTGCATGGCGCAAAAAAGCGGAGTTAACGCTTCTGAAGCAGGAGATTGCAGTGAGCACAGGAATGGGACATGTCAAGAGAGGTGCAAGAAAGAAGCTGTGATCAGTTCGCTGACTTCTTGCAGCCTTTGTTTCAAGCAGTGCTACTGACTTGTGCTAGTGCCCGAAGTGTAGAAAAAGCTTCGGATACTGATGGTGCCGAAGATGAACCGTGCTCGTCGTGCCCAGGTGAGTCTGATCTATGTCTACGTCTGTGTGTAGTCACTGTGCAATGCTGAGTGTAGCTTGCGTATTGTGTATTGGAGGTACTTGCAGATGAGTTGACAGATCTCCGTCGGCGCCGTGCTGCGAAGCATGCAGAAAACCGCGAGCTGGCAAACCAGGAGAAGGCGCTCAAGAAGCAGCGAAGCCGATTGATGCAGGCGGATCTGCAACCATTGGCGCAAGGCCGCAAGCAGCAAACTTTAGCGTTGCTGTAGCTCAGCGCGGCAACTCAGCACTGACGATTTGGTCGTCCTTTTTGCAGCAACAAGGCACGGCGTCGGTAGCTTGGAACGGAATGCGAAAATCAAAGACGATGCTAGCAGGTGCCGGTCGGGCGGATGGTGGCAATGATGGACACGCCGTGCCAGCCGGCCCTGTTGGTGAGCCAGGCTGTGATGATTGCTTTGCCGGGTGACTTGTCTCGTAGGTCCAGGCGGCCGGGAGTTAGTCCAGATAATGGGAAAACATGCAGAGCATTGTGCGGTGTGGCAGGCGCGGGCCCTGGTCCTCTTGTGCCTGTGGTTGCTGGTGCTCTTCCAGAAGATCGGGGGTCAGTCCAGATAAGATAAAAAGAACATGCAGAGCAGTGTGCGGTGTGGCAGGCGTGGGCCCTTGTCCTGCTGTGCCTATGGTTGCTGGTGCTGTTCCCGGAGGCCGGGACTCAGTCCGTGCCAGCCAATGCCTGCTGTGCTGTAAACTTGTCGGGAGGCGATCGTGGCGAAGCCATTGCCGTTGATGATGCAGACTTGGAGTTGGGCGGCAGTGGCCTGAGACATGCAGCTTCGCGATTGGCTGTTGGTAGGTGAGCACGGGGCCGTCGTGGTTGATGCGGATGTGGAAGGCAGTGAATGGAAAACCTTTTATCGGCTGGTTTCCAATTTTTTTGCTGGCAGGGCCCTACGCCGAAAGGGGAGAAGCCGTCTCCGACGTGGACTTGGGTGGCAGTGCCCTATAAGAAAGACAGGTTCGACTAGCAGCTTGTTTCCGGTGTGTGACTCCTGGTAGGTGGGTGTGGGGCCATGGTGGTTGATGTTGACGTGGAAGGCAGTGGCCTGAAGCGGTGTCGATTGGCTGCTTTCTTTTGCGGGCAGGCCCGGTCGCCGTTGCCGTCAGTGCAGACTCGCAAGGCAAAAGCTTCGATTGGTGTGTGTTTCGGCTTGTATTTGCTCTTCTTTCGCATGATTCATTGGCAGGTGGGTGCGAACGTGGTCCTGGCGCCACTGCCGATGCAGACCTGGAAGGAAGTTGCTTGAAACAGCCCCGGTTGCTCTTCCTGCTTTTATTCTTGTCGTGCACAGGCCCTGGGGCCGACGATAGTGACGAGGCGGGCCTGTAGGGGAGCAGAAGGCGGCGCAGACCCCAATTTTAAAGGAAGATTCCTCCGTGATGGCAACTCATGCGTGCAAAAACAGCATGTTCAGGGGTCCTGTTCTGGTGCCGAAAAGCCTTGTGGAATCGGTGCCCGATTGACTCTGGTCCCTGACGGGAAAACTCTGATACCACACAAAAGCCCATGGCCTGAACCCGATCCCTGGCCCCGCAAACCCTAAAACCTGCCCTGCACGCTAGATTCGATCCTCTAAAGTCCCAAACCTAAAGCCCTTAAACCCAGAAACCTTGAACCGTAAAGCCCCAAAGCCTTGCCCTGAAGGCCTAAACTCCTATACTGACCCTTCCAGTAAACTTTTCCGTAAGTCTTCCACCCATCAAACCTTGTTACAAAAACATTTCAATTCCCCGTGAAAACCTCTTGAACCCTTCTTAAACCCTTGACGATTAAAAACTACCAGATTCTGCAATTGATAGAATTACTGGTTCTGGGGCTCAAGGCGACAGTTAGAGTTTGGAGTTGAAGGTCTGTGCCTGCCATGGTGAGAACAGAATCCGTTCATGTAACCTTGTACCAAAACCTAAATCTTAATTCTTCGGCACTCACGGTTTAGATCCTGGGAGCCTCCACACCAATCGCATCTCATCTCATCGTTCGCTGTGAACAGAACTCCACCATAGAGGTTTGAATAGTTATGAGGCTTATGCATGGCGAAACCTTTTTCAATCCCTTCAGAGCTCTTGAAATATCACCAGTCCACAGATATGCGCCGATCGCCCTTCTGAGGACTACCGTCGTGACGGTCCGCGGCGCGAGGACCGAGACCGCTTGGGAACAGCAGGATTTAGGTTCAGGCTTTAGGATGCAGGGTTTAGGAGTTTACGGGTCCAGGGGTTTAGAGGTTTAGGGTTTAGGGGTTTAGGGGTTTAGGAGTTCAGGGGTTTAATTAGGGGTTTAGGGGTTTAGGGTTTACGGGGTGTAGGGTTTATAGGGTTCAGGCTTTAGGATTTAGGTTTGAGAGATTGAGTTTAAGCAGATTTGGAGTTTAAATTGAGGTTTTTTTGTGTTTATGGATTTAGCAACTTAGGTTTTAGGGATCATGGATTCAGGATCCGACAAGTATTGGGCTGATGCAAGATTGCCGCAACAAGAGCACATGCAAGTACCGTAAGGCAGAGAGCACAAGAATAGGCGCACATGGTTGTTCTTATGAAATAAATGCGCGCTATGTTGCTTATGACTCAATCGTATGCATGCAGGAACACTGATTCTACAAGCACGACCGACTTTCCAGGGCAATGCAATGCTGTGTCCAACGACTTCGCTCATCCGTCAGCCGGTTATGACCCGAAACGCGAATCCCTAATCCCTGAACTCTAAACCCTATACCACAGAAGCCACCCGTGTGATCACCGTACAAGCATTTCGATTGCTTCGATCTCCTGGTGCAAACCCTGAAGCCTCAAAGCCCTAAGCCATAGTATATTGGGTTTAGGATTTTAAGGTTCCACTTACTGTAGCTCCCCAAGCCCTTCTAAGATTGTCAGAGAAGCTTGACAGAGCCCGCACAAAGACCTTAAACCCGCAACCCTAAACCGTGAAAAAACCACCTCGTCAAGCAATACCCGTCGAGTACCCTGATAGAAACCCGTATATCATAGATCCCGAACATTTCAGGAACCTTATCAATACCCAAATAGTACCCAGGAGAGGCCCTAAACCCTAATCTAAACCCTGCTCATGAACCCTACACCCTAACCCCCGCCTAACCCCTAAACCCTAAACAACAGCAGGAGAGGCCCGAGCGTGAGCGGGAGCGGTCCCACCGCGATTTGCGGGAGCCGCGCGCGGACTTGCCCGCTCCGCGAGGCCCCGGGCCCTTGAATAAGAATAATTCCGATACTACTAACATTGATGTAAGCAGCAAGAATACTAATGCTAATGGTAGCAGGGTTTCGGGGTGCTATATCAAAACTCAGGACTTTTGTTTGGGTTCTAGAAGAGTTGCGGGTTTTGGGCTGGAGCAGCCGCTTGCAGTACGTTTCAGGCTTACTTCAGGGTCTGAGGATTTTTTTGGGTTTGCAGGTTTCAGAAGTTATGGCTTGAGCGATCTCTCCACTTGCTGCGGGAGTCTTTGATGGTGAGTTCTCGAAATTAGGGTCCCTTTCAGGGTCCGTGGCGTAGGGACAGAAGAGGCCATAATTTTGAGAACTACCCGTACAGTTGAGGGTCGAAGGTTCACTTGGCAGTCAATGGTCTGGAGGCTCGCGTGAAGTCTTGGCCCTGAAACATCCCGAAATCATGACCCTAACTCAGCCCTGAGCACCGGACCCCAAAAGAATCCAAATCTGAAGCCCGCGGCAGGAGACAGGGGGGATCGAGTTGGCGATCGCGGAGGATACAGGCTCGAAGCCAGTAAAGGCAGAGTGCCAGCTGCGATTGACGGCAGAGCCAAGTGCAACCGAGGGCGGAGAGGGCAAAGTGCTATGTTGTTCTGGACTCAATGCCATGGAGGGCGGAGTGCAACTGAAGAGCAAGAGACAAGGGCCTCTCAAGGCTGTGAGTGGCAAAGAGGGCCAAGTGCCACATGCCATTTAGAACGCGTTGAGGGTCAAGTGCCACATGCCTGAGGGCCAGTGGTGGAGTGCCGCGGAGTGCCATTCAGGGCCGAGTGCCAATGAGAGCCGAGTAGCATTGGCGGACGGAGTGCTTTTAGCATTAGGGCCAGGGGCCACTGGTGGCTAAGTGCCTGAGCTCTAGGTGCAACTGAGAGCCAACTGCCATTGAGGGCGGAATGGGGCGGAGTGTTACCTCGGCGAAATTTTCGTTGCAATCAGGGTGTCATTGAGCGTCATCGAGGGCGGAGAAGAAATGTAACTTCTCGGTTTCAAGACCAGCGCAGACCATGCCCAGAAAGATCTGATGAATGGACCCGTTAAAATCAGCGCAAGCTACAGTACCCTGAAGATCTGAATAATTACCAGAACCTGCTAAGATCCGTGCAAGTTGCGTGCCCTGGAGAAGCATGATTTAGATGCGTAGCTCGGGAATATTTTCTGTGTATGTTCAGCCGATATTCGTAACAGCAACTATTGGTATAGGTTCTTCGAGGTCCACGGAGAGTTTTCTCAGACATAGCGACGTCGGTGATCAGTGATATTGCGCAGTGCTTATAAAACTCTCTATGGCCGTGGCATCGAGGGTGGAATATGGTAACAGTTCCATCGAAGACAGTGCCGCTTTTCGATAACGGAGTGCAATTCATGGCCCTTTCATGGCAGAGTACTATTTCGGGGCGATCGGCACTATGAGGGCAAAGTGTGTCTGAGGCTTTGATTCCCGCGCTCGCGTCTGGGTTAGAACATGGGTTGCTTTTGTGACGTCTTCGTTCTCGGCGAAGTTTGTCTTGTGATTGCGGCACTTCGGTTTTCTGCGCAGAGAGCTTGTGCCGCTGTAACTTCGGGCTCGTGATTCTAATTGTTTTGCTTCGTTGGTTTTGCTCCGGGAGATTCTCGATGTGTTCAGCATAGACGATGGGGCGAAGACTGTTCACTGGTGCTGTAATTCAACATTGTGCTGGCAGTAGGTGTGCGCGCGCAGCCGTGGCATCAGTCACATTCTTCTCGTTGTTTTGGTTGGACTTGCTCTTGAGCTTTGACGATTACTTCGTCATCTTCATTCTCTTCATCCATAGCGCATCCATGACACGAGGCTTCTCTTCTGGTGGATGCAACTCGATGTTCCGTTGATATCACGTCCATGCACACGTGACTTCAAAAGCAATGGTTCTCATTGGTTTTCTTTTTACTGATCTTTCGTTGCTTCCTCGACATGACATGCCATGCTCTTCTCGATGTGTGTGGTTTGGGGGCTTTGCCGTTCTGAAGCTCGCAGAATTGCAGCTCTACAAAATCCTTGAACGTGGCTTTGACTGCAAAGATTGCAGAATCCGGAGAATGAGGGTTGGGGGTCTTGGTGAACCCGCCGATTACCACCACCCGGCTCTACAAATTCCGGCTGTCTGCTAGGTTATTGCTCCAGCATTGGGGGTTCAGTTTTGCTCGGCTTGGACACCTGAAATCGGAAGCTCTTCCGATAATTTGGAGCCGTCCATTCTTGCAGAGTCCTGAAATTTAATTCCCAGGGGCGTAGGTTGAGATGTAGAGGTTGTCAGAAGTTTTCACGCCAGAGGAACGTTTGGCATGTGGCCGCTCACAGTGCTCCGAATCTGATATGACACCGCGACGAAACCTGCAAGGGCCAGTTCATGCACAGTCTGAAGTTTCAGGGTCAGGGCGTTTAGGCTATGCTTCAATGGTCCGTCGGAGGTATGACGACCAGCGGCGTGGCGATGATCGTAGGGCAAGCGGCCACGAATACCAGGCTTGTCTTACCTGTCTTCAATCACCTTGTGTTTAAGGTTCTAAGTTCAGGGGTGAGGCTTCCAACCTGCTCGGTGGCTTTTAAAGCTATGCCGCAGACTCGTCGGATGCAGCCTACCTTTAGTGCTGGGGGGAGTATTTTTGTTATATCAAAGCTCCCAGGGAACCGTAGAACTACTAGCATTATTATGCTTCTACGGGCGCTTAAGCTACAAGTAGCAGCTTTGCCAAGGAAGTAAAGCAACATCAGCGCACCGAAGAAGCTATGTTACCCTGGGCCTGAATGCTTGGGCTAGCAACCCCGACATGTCGATGAGTCCTTCTAGAGGTAGGTCATTTGGGGTCCAGGTAACCTAAAAACTTAAAACATCCTGAAACCCTAAAACCCTGAACCGCTTAAACCTTAAACCTTAAACCCCAAACCCCAAAACCCTAATCCAGGGTCGCGCCACTCGTGACCCACCTCGCGAGCCGCCTCGAGATGCGAACCCGCCCAGGGAGTGCGCCCGGCATGGACTTTCGCAGTCTTGGGATGTAATATAGAGGCCTGAAAAATTCGAATGGGGTCTTGGGGCCCATCATACTATAATTATCATAAGGAACCCCCCGAAATTGTACAGGTAGCTAGTAAGGAGGGTTTAGGGGAGTTTCAAGAAGTTTTTGCATAGATCAGCATCATTGATGATACTCATATAATTAATAATACGGACAAAAACAATACTCACAATAATGATGCTAATACAACAAATGCTGTTATGATGGCCCAGGCCGGCTTGGGGATCACGGCTCCGATTTAGGTTTAATTAAGGTTATGGGTGGGAGGCGTAGGCTTGAGGTTGTGCGTTGTTTGGGAATTCGGAGTTCAGCCTCGAAGGTTGATGCTTTGTGAATCTTTGTGAGTGTTGTTGGTGTTAAGTTGGAGCCTGTAGGGATGCGGGACAACGGCAGCATGGCATTTTGAAGGATAGTCGAAGGTCCAGCTTGCGGAACCCACAAATACACACTGAGCTGCAATGTTGAGCTGTTTTCTAGCGCGAGGAGAAGGGTCCAGTGTTTGTGTTGCAAGGACCTCCGAATTCGACTGTTTCACGACTTTCGGCACCAACGCACTTCCGAACCACTGCTGTCTGACCATCGCGAAGGTCCCGAGAGGAGCACTGGATATAGTCTTATCCCCGGTTATCCGCTCATGTAATGCAGCTCAAATGGGAGATTCAAAGTAAGGAACTCCAACATATAGATCCTAAATAGTAGGATGAAAACCTCCGAATACGACAGCCCTAATACCAGCAAGCTACCAAATCTTCAGGTACGACTCCGGCGAGGACCTCATCTCCCTCGACATCATTCTAAGGGGGCTTTCGGGTTTCAGATTCGGCTTAGAGTTTTAGGGCTTTTCGGGCGGTAGGATTTCAGGATTTCACAACTTTCGGGGATTCCGCAGCGTCTAGCATTTGAGGGCTTCGGCGAACTCTTTAGGGCAAAAGATAATTCTTTCAGCGTTCGCCTTGGGATTGACGGATCTCTCTAAGGGCTTCGATCAAGCATGAACCTCAAGCCGCAATCCAGGAGTGTAGGTGTTGTGGTTACGCGTACCACGATCCGAGGAGATGTGGGTAGATGCTAGTTTAAGGTTTTAGTGCCTGGAACTGGCACGTCTCGAAGTTTGCCCTACCCTTGCTTGGAATAGTGGGTGCTTTACTTGGAGGTTCGTGGGTAATTCTAAGTGGGGCTTTAAGGCCCCTAGACCCTGAAGCAGTTTTAATTAATGCTCCTTATAGATTCTTCTGAAAGGAACCCTCAAGGGACCCTATTCTAGAACAAGCCCCCATACTGAAAAAACGGGAGGCTCCCACTAGGCCCCGGAAGCTACCTGACACCCTAAACCACAAACCCTCAGCCCTAAATCCGAAACCCTCAACCCTCAGCCCTAGATCCGAGACCCGAAAGCCCAAACCCGAAACCCTCAGCCTTAAACCCGAGACCCTAAACTCTAAACCCCAAACCCTCAGCCCTAGACCCGAAACCCTAAACCCTCCTAAACCCTAAATACTAAACCCTCAGCCCCATATCCGAAACCCCAAAAACCCTACTTGGAGGTCCATGGGTAGTTATAAGTGGGGTTATACGTAGGGTGACTGTAGTTATAACCCATATTAGGGGACTTATACTATAACTGTACTTATAACTACCCATGAACCTTCAAGTAAAGCCTGTTCTGCTTGTTTTAGGCCCCTGATTTTAGGCCCGGGAAGCTTCCGCAAAGTCCGAGAAGTCTACGAGACTCGGTGTCAAGAAGCCGTTCTTGTCAAGGGGTTTAATGTAAGTTATCATACATCGGGGTTCCGTTCAGGGGGTATTTAGGGTTCTATAAGGGTTTAGGGTTCAGGGATTTATCTCAAGTTAACCATAAGAAGGACAGGGATCTATTTTCTATAGATCCCTACTACGGTAACTTAAATTCAATCCCTTGACAAGAACCCAGAGAAGGGAAGGGGTGTTTCCAATGGGGCTTCGGGCTGTAGGGTTCAGCGTTTCAGGTTTCGAAGGTTCATGGCTTGGGGTTCTAGGATTTGTTTGATGCTTTGCGGACATGATGGCTTGCAAGCAACCGCAGCGACAGCTGTGGCCCTGGCAGTACCAGCACCAGCAAGAGAAACGGTGGGAGTGGTAGCGTCTGCCGTGGAGGGTGAGAAAAGTGTGGAGGAATAGACGACCTTAGGAGGTGTCGTAGTAGCGGCAGCAGCAGCCGTAGC